GTGTCATGAATTTATCAAAGCCTTGAGTAGCCTTGGTTCTGTACAAGACGACAAATTGAGTGCTGTCCTTATTCAATCTTAAATCATGTGGTTATACTTTACTCTCCCTATCAAGGAGTGCAATGCTATTTGGCCTTTACATTTTTTAATATTTTCATAGCTGCTTTGAATTTTCACATTTGGGTTTAAAATAATACCTTGATAACTAAATTGTTTAACTTTTTGTGTTACTTCAACAGAGAAAGATGCATGACGAACCAGAATATTGATCAGGACAATATGTGGATGTAAGTAGAAATATTACGGCAGACATTACTGACATGTCTATCAATGTCTCAAATGTATTCACATTTAAAGCGGGAGAGTTGTCACCTGCGCATGCGTCAGGTGGCCATCGCGTGTCATTGTTTACAAACAAGCGGTCTACCCATGAGCCTTTGCATTTTTAGCGTGTGTTGTTATCGTCGCTTGGGACTCAATTCCGGCGCGTGCGCAGGTGATGACCCTCCTGCTTTAAGTCAAACAATATACAGAGATATATACACTGGTATCATTTTTGTACTTTTAATAAAACAATGTCTTTTGACATTGAGCTATAAATTGCTCTCCTAAATACAGTAAGTGATTAATGTAGCAACGTGTATGCTATAAATGCATTTAAAATGCTCTGAATTGAGAAAGTGGTAGTTATACCTAAGTTTTGGTTGGAGTGCATGATAGGAGAGTGAGTCTAATTAAAAAAAGAAGGTGTCATTGATATTGTAGATATTTTCATTAGGTTTTAAATTTACTGGTTTATGAAAGAAACAATACATGGTATTATTTTACCTCAGAGCCCTAACAGACAATCAGATTTACGAATTTGGTGGTAGATATATTTGAGTACTGATTTCTCAGCATTCAAAGACGTAATATTCGGCTTCTACACGGACATTACGATCGATCTGAGAAATTCTGATTCACCATTTAGCTGTGTCTATGTTTTCTTTGAGAATCACCTGTAATTTATGAACAAGGCGCGTAACTAATATTTTCAGCTCAACAGGATATCTTGTATTACTTGGGCCGAGTTATGTTCTGTGATTACCAGGGGATCATCGAACAGCACGATTATATCTGTTGGTCCGACCACTGCTGGTCAATATTTCTATATTATTAATTTTTAAAGCTATTTTACATGTCAGTGAAATATGCGAATAATTAAACCCCATATAATAATATTGGGTGTTCAAGTTTATGAGTTTAATCATAAATATCATTATTTCAGGAATATGGTAAATGAGACTCATATTATATGTTCATCTGGTGCTAACAAAGTAACAGACGCTGCTAACTTAACAATATATTTTGATGGAGCTGTACGTCCCCTATTAGGTGTCACTTATGAATACACAGAGGATCCTACCATTGAAACTATTTTACCAGAATCAAGTATGGTTAGGTGAGTTTAGTTTTATTGAACCAGTAATCTGCACTACATTTTAATACTGTTATTATGTAGCTGTATTTAATACAATAAAGACCCGGCCACATAATACATATTGTAGTTTTTGTTCTGCTCGGACTTAGTCTGAAACAAGGGCTTATGTTCTGGCTTCCATCCCTTGATTCATCCATGTTGGTCCATCAGACAATTTTCGAACATGTCTGGACTGATTTTATTTGCAGTTGGTGCAAAAATAAGTCATAATAGAAGACATACATTGTATGCACATTGATTTGTTTCATTGACTTTTTAGCTCCGCTTATCATATGAGTGATTGTCCGTCGTCGTCCGTGTCAATGTTTTACTTTTTCGACTTCTTCTTGAAAACTTCAAGCCTGAATGCTTTGATACTTGGTGTATATGTACCTTGAGTAGACCTCTCTCAGATTTGTTCATTTCATTATGATATCTTCAATTCTCTAAT